CTGTTCTTGTGCCAGTACCAGGCTGTTTTGAGAAGAGTGGCCTTGTAATACAGCTTAAAATCTGATATTGAGATCCCTCCTTCTTTACTCTTCTTTCTCAGGATTTCTGTGGCTATACAGGGTCTTTTATTATTCCAGATGAATTTTTGGAGAGTTCTTTCTTGGTCTGTGAAATATGCCATTGGTATCTTAATGGGGAGTGCATTGAATCTATAGATGACTTTGGGTAGTGTGGACATTTTAATTATGTTAATTCTACCAACCCATGAACATGGTATGTTCTTCCTTCTGTTTACATCTTCCTCTATCTCTTTTTTCAGTGCCCTGTAGTTTTCAGCTTATAGGTCTTTTACCTCCTTGGTTAAGTTTATTCCTAGGTATCTTAATTTGTTGGTGCAATGGTAAATGGGATTGCTTTTTTAGTCTCTCTTTCTGTAAGTTCATTGTCATTGTATAGAAATGCCATAGATTTCTTGTCATTAATTATGTATCCTGCTACATTGCTGAATTTATTTATTAAGTCTAATAGTTTTTTGATGGAGTCTTCCTGACTTTTTTTTATGTACAATATTATGTTATCTGCAAATAAGGAAAACTTTACTTCTTTGAATGCCTTTTATTTCTTTATCTTGTCTAATTGCAGTGGCTAATACTTCCAGTACTATGTTGAACAGGAGTGGTGAAAGTGAGCATCCCTGTCTTGTTAATGTTCTTAGGGGAAATGGTTTTAGTTTTAGCCTATTGAGTATGATGTTGGCCGTGGGTTTATTATATATGACTTTTATTATGTTGAGATATGATACTTCTATTCCCACCTTGCTGAAAGTTTTTATCAAGAAAGGGTGTTGGATTTTGTCAAATGCCTTTTCTGCATCAATTGATATGACTATGTGATTTTTATCTCTCAATTTGTTTATGTGATGTATCACATTTATTGATTTGCTATTATTGTACCATCCTTGCATCCCTGGGAGAAATCCTAGTTGGTCATGGTGTATGATCTTTCTGTATACTGCTTGATCCAATTTGCTAGAATATTGTTGAAGATTTTGGCATCTATGTTCATGAGAGATATTGGCCTGTACTTCTCTTTCATTGTGTTGTCTTTATCTGGTTTTGGTATTAGGATGATGCTGGCTTCATAGAATGAGCTTGGAAACATTCCTTCCTCTTGAATTTTTTGGAATAATCTGAGGAGGATAGATTTTAGTCTTCTTTAAATGTTTGGTAAAACTTCCCCCTTATACCATCTTGCTGCAGGCTTTTGTTTCTGGAAGTTTTTTTGATGACTGCTTCAATTTCTTCATTAATTGTTGGCCTGTTGAGATATTTAGATTCTTCCTGATTGATTTTGGAAGGTTGTATTTTTCTAGGAATATGTCCATTTCTTCCAGGTTTTCCAGTTTGTTGGAATAGAGTTGTTTATTGTATTTTTAACATTTTTTTTTTTACTTCAGTGGAGTCTATTGTTAAATATCCTCTTTCATTTCTGATTTTGTTTATTTGAGTTCTCTCTCTTTACTTCTTGGTGAGCCTGGCTAGAGGTTAATCAATCTTGGTTACACTTTCAAAGAACAAGCTCATGGCTTTGTTTTGTTTTATTTATTTATTTATTTATTTATTTATTTATTTATTCATTTATTCATTTATTCATTTATTCATTTATTCATTTATTTATTTATTTTTGGTCTCTATGTCATTTATTTCCACTCTGATCTTTATTATTTCCTTCCTTCTGCCTATACTGGGCTTTCCTTGTTCCTCTCTTTCTAAATCTTTTAGTTGTAGGGTTAGGTAACTTATTAGCTTTGTTTCTTGTTTTCTTCAGTAGGCTTGTAGAGTTATGAACTTCCCTCTCAAGACTGATTCTCTGTGTCCCATTGACTTGGATTGTTGTGTTTTCATTGTCATTTGTTGCCATGGTGTTTTTTTATTTATTCTTTGATCTTTATGGTAAACCAGTCATTGCTTAATAGCATGCTATTTAGTCTCCATGTGTTTGATTTTGGGGGGGGGTTGTTTTATTGTGGTTGATTTCACTTTTATGCAACTGTAATCTGATCAGATGCTTCATATGATTTCTGTCTTCTTGAATTTGAAGAGACTTTGCCTGTGACCCAATATATCCTCTATCTTTGAAAATGACCCATGTGCACTTGAGAAGAATGTATATTCTGTGGCTTTGGGGTGTAATGTTCTGAAGATGTCAATTAATTCCATCTGACCTGGTGAGTCATTTAGGATTGATGTTTCTTTGCTGATTTTTTTGTTTAGAGGATTTGTCCAATGGTGATTGTGGGGTATTAAAATCTCCTACTATGATTGTATTGCTGCCAATCTCTCCCTTAATATCTTTCAGGAGTTTTTATTTTTTTATTTTGGGTGTGTATATGTTTACCAAAGTTATTTCTTCTTGTTCGAATGCTCCTGTTAGTATTACAAAGTGATCTTTCTTATCTCTTTTTAAGTCCTTCAGTTTGAGATCTAATTTTTCAGATATAAGTATTGCTACCCCAGCTTTTTTTTTCATTTCCAGTCACCTGAAAATATTTTTCCATCTCTTTACTGTCAGTCTGTGGGTGTCTTTATTTTCTAATGTTGGTTTCTTGTAGACAACAGATATATGGGTCATGTTTTGTTATCCAATCCTTTACCCTATGTCTTTTGATTGGGGGATTTAATCCATTTACATTTAAAGATATTATTGGTAGGTACTTGTTTGTCTCCATTTTTATTCATTACACCTGTGTTCCTTCTTCGCTTCCTATTTCTTCTTTTTATACCAGACCCTTTAGCATTGCTGGTTTGGTGGTAATAAACTGCCTTGGTCCTTTTTTTGTCTGTGAAGCTCCGATTGTATCTTCAATTTTAATTGATAGCCTTGCTGAATACAGTATTCTTGGACTCAGACCTTTCCTTTGCCTGACTTTGGATATTTCATTCCATTCCCTTCTGACTTCTATGAGAAATCAGTTGTTAGTCTAATGAGGGATATGCTTCTGTAAGAAATCAGTTGTTAATTTAATGAAGGATCCTTTGTAAGTAATTTTCTGTCTCTCACTGACCACTTTTAAGATTCTTACCTTTGTCGTTGGTGTTTGCCACTTTAATTAAATGTACTTTGGGGTTACTCTTTTCGGGCTGATTTTGCTTGGGACTCTGTGGGCTTCTTAGATATGTGTGGCATTTTTTTCTCTATATATATCAGGGAAGTTTCTGCATTACTTCCTTCAACAGGTTTTCTATTCCTATTCCTTGCTCAGTTTCTTCTCCTTCTGGCAACCCTATTATGCAGATTTTTTTTTCCTCATGGTGTTGTCCAAAAGTTCCCTTAGACTCTCCTCCTGCTTTTCAATTTTTATTTTTATTTTTTTTGAAGATGCTCTACTCAGGTATTTTTTTCTAACTTGTCTTATAGTTCATTGATGTGGTCCTATGCTTCTTCTAGTCTACTGTTGATGCTTCTATTGAGTTCTTTACAGCAGCGATGCCATTTTTGTTTGGGGTGATGAAAATGATTTACTCTTAGGTAACATGGTGGCTGAACAACATTGTGGCTATACTGCCAGTGAAATGTTCACTTTAAAAGGATTAATATCTTGCTATAAGAATTTCATTGATTGGCTGCTTCCTACACACCCCTACTGGAGATCAAGCCTAAAACCCAGGCATGTGCCCTGACTGGGGAATTGAACCATGAACTCCTGGTTCTTGGGTTGATGCTCAACCACTGAGCTACTCCAGCAGGGAAGCAAGAAGCTTTTAAGGAAACTTAGATATATTTCAAAAGAGAAAGAATCTGCAACTACAAATTACAGTTACATTTCTAAAGGAAATGCTCTAAAAAAAATACAAAAGGCCTAGTCAGGAAGAAATGTTAGAGAATCGAAGGGAATAATGAGGCCTCTGGTGCATAACACTTTCTGCACAGCAGAGGGAAACACAACTAAATCTTTTCAGCCAACATCCAGTTTGCATCGCCATAAGTTCCTGCAATTTATAAAGAAGTGCAAGTTCCCAGTCATTTATAAATAGATGCAAAGTAGCTGAGAGACCAAACAGAGATAACATCTGATCTCCCAGATTGCAGTGCTTCTGGAGTTTTCCATGGAAACATTACATTTCTCTCTATAGTCACCTTCCCTTTGATCAAACGTGATTTCCAAGGAAGAAGAATATTTTGAAGTTATCACATATATGGCTGGTGTCATTCAATATGCCCCAATTAATGACCTAAGTGCAGAGGAACTGACATTCACCTTATAGTTTGCTCTGATGCAGGTTTTTCTATAAAACATGAGTTGGGATTTTTAACAGCCTCTTGAGTTTAGGGGGCCTCAGCCTCATGCTTCACCTGCAGTATCTCTAGGTTTGGGTGATGCCCTCCTCTCACTTAGACTAGAAGTCTTCATCAGGTCAAAATTAACTCCAAAATTAACTGTTTATAATTCTATTTGCATCAATCTGAAGTAGGACATATTCTAAGCCTTATTTATATTCCTCTATTAACAAAGAGGACAGGGTGCTACTGAACTTATGCAAATAAGTCGATTGCCATAACCAAAAGAATACTCTAGAGAGCATTAGTAATTTGGGGGCAGACATCTCACATATGTGTTCTCTTATCTATTCCCATAATCCCCAGTGTCCAGGCACCCTCCCCATGTTTCCCTGGAATCAGGAGAAAACTCAGATTCCTGTGAGCTTATCTCTTACTCCCACCACTCACCACACAATGACTGCCCCTCACCACCAGCCCCCGTGAAACACATTGTGTCCCCTCCATTGCGGAGATGGTGCAAATAGGACCGATAGAGATGGGATCCAATGTGGTGCGTTACCTTAGGTCAGCAATAATGACAATGCTAGCTCACATTTTTTAGTATTTATTGATTCAAAGAAAGTCTTCTAAGCAATTTCCACCACCATAAGAAATCTAATGGGTACTTTTTTTTTTTTTTTTTAACAACATAGGGGATGGGAGGCAGGGAGGTGGATCACTAGTACTTGACATCTAACTCTACAGGTGCACTTTCAATGGAGCTGATGGGGTCGAAGACTTGACACTGGTAGTATCCAGCATCCTCTCTCCGGACAGGGTCTATGGTGAGGGTTCTGTGGTCCTGGGACAGCTTCATCCTCTCCCCGAGTTGCATACTTGTAGCATTGAATAACCAGTTGATGGAATACACATCTGTGTAGCAAGTCATGACCACCGCATCCTCATTCTCTGTGACTGTGGTGTTGCTGGCTAGCAGTGTGGGCACACTCAGTGGCCCTGTGAAGAAAGAGAGGGTGAGAATGATTGAGTGTGGGCTTGGGACCTGGGGCCCTGCTACTGCCTCAAAGATCTCAGCTCTAACTCTGATTGTTATGAGGGTGATTTGGTTCCACAACAAAAATTAATTAATTCTAAATTTTTCATCACTCACCAAACCAAATCTACCCCTCTGAAGACCACTTTAAAGGAAATATATGAACCAATGAATGATCTAGGGAGCCAAAGATATCTAATAAGGCCACTGGGATTGGAGGAAAAGATGAGGCTATGGCTTCAGATAGACCTGAAGTGAGATCAATTTTGCATGGTCTTTGTGATTCTGCTTAGGGACTGTCTCTCCCAGGGCCTCACTTTTCCCTCAGTGAATTAAAATGAATATTTGATTGCAAGGCTTTCATTGTACTAACCATAAAATATTCAGGGTATCTAATATAAATATTGGGAAAGAAAACTGCTCAAATAAGAGGCATTTGTTATTGATGGATTTCATGAGAGAACCCCCTGAGATGATCCCTTGTGGATGAGCAACCTCTAGGGGAATCTTTACTCCTACTCATCCCTTGGGATACTAACATTTCTCTGGACTCTCCTAAGTTCCCCCAGAACAGTCAGTTAATAGTCTGTGGAGCTTGTCCTGTTGTGCTCTCCACACACAGTCTCAGATGAAGAACCAGACTCCATCTCTGACCATTCATGGCTCATAGGGTTGAGCCCTAACTGGTGACCAGCTCAAGAGCTTTGTGACTTTGGCACATGGGAAACTGTTGCTCTCACTCAGTACTTCCCAGGAGGCAAAATCCAAACTGACACAGGCTCCTCAAGGCCTCTGGAGTCAGGACATAGTGACAGGGGCCTGGAGAGAGGCTCCACCAGCTGAACTTTTCTGTGAAGAACCCAGGGATCCCCTTATGCCAGTTTCTTACAGAATCCTGCAGGGTCTAATTTAGGGTCATGGTCAGGGAAAGGAGCCCAGGGACATGGACTGAGACTGGTCTCCCTCTGCTGAGTCACTCCCATCAAATTGGTCCTTCTCTATGTGGTGAATATCTGTGGGGCTGGAATCTGGGAAGGGAACTCTGATTTTGAAAATTTGTCTCCATTGTATTTTCCTGAACTAAGTTCCCAAACCCAACTTGGCATATGATGCAGAGGAAGATGGAGGAGAGTTCGGGGTTGGCAGTCCTGTGTGTGAAGTAGAATTCACCCCACCCGACACTCACGGTATACATTGAGCCGTCCAAATGCTACTTCTCTTGATTTTGGAAGAATGGCTACTACGAAGTACATTCCTATGTCCCTCGGAGTGACATTTTTTATGATCAGGGATCCATCAAGTTTTGCTATCTCTCGACCAGTGTATTTGGGACCTGTTATTTGTCGACTTAATTGCCATGCAATAATCCCAATTAAATTAGAGAACTTAATCTCTAGTCCCCTGTACCACATGAAGCCTGCAACACCAGGAGGCATATTGCTGGCACGTAGAATCACATCCTGCCCTTCAGCAGCATTGATTGAGTCAAGAGTAAATCGCGCAGTCGTGGGCGGGATCCAGAAGGCTAAGAGGAAGCCTAGAAGGGAAAAGAGAAATTGATCAGTATTTTGATTTATGTATTGGGATGGATGAATGAGGCATTTCTTTTCATCTCTCAGACTTGGTCTGTGTGTGAGTTCATGTGTGCATCTCCTTGGTCATGGTCAGCAACTTGGCCACCATTATTTCAGCACCTCAGAACCTAAGCTTTTTATTTTCAATTCCCTTTCCCAGCTGTCTGTGTGACTGTCCTCCTTACTGCCCTCAATCTTTGTTGACACTCAGCGGCCTTCTTGGAAGACCTTCCCTAACCACATCCTCTAAAGACCCTCTATCTTCACTCTCTGAACTGTCCCCACTCTGTGCCCTTCAGGGCATTTGTGGGAACCTGGTGTCCCAAATAGATCTCTTTTCCTTTGTTTTCTCCCCATATAATGCGAGCTACATGTGGGCAGGGCAATTTGTGATCTTCTGCCCCCATGTCTGCAATAAGCTGCAAACACCTGTGGGTGCATGAATGAGTGTTTCCAGGCCTGGCCACGTCCCATGTTGGATTTTCCCATATTTGGTGGTGGTGGTGGGAACAATGTTTAGCACCACTGGTTAAAATGTTCGTACTGTCACCTGAAATAAATTGTTATTATTCTGGTCAGTTTTCAAAATTCAATACTCAGTGATGAAAAACTTAGTAAATAACCTGCAAACGGAGGTTTTCCTGCCCCTCACCACTTCCACATCATGAGATTTTCCTGATGCTGAGCCCCCTCTCTTATCCTACTCTGGGCCCCTTTCATTTCACTCAGGTCCAAAGAGAAGCCCTTCGTCCCCTCTCAGAGTGCCATCCTACCCAGGAGAGCATGGCCACTCTCTCCCTCCCAGCCTCCCTACCATTCCCAGGGATTGTCCTCTCCTTACCAGTCAGCAGGAGTCCCAGCCAGGGGACAAGTCCTCTGTGGGCAGAGGCTGCAGAGAACTCCATGGTGACTGCTGCCTGCTCTTGTCCCTCCCTCTGAGAGAAGAGCTCGAGGTCTAATAAGGCTCCCAGGCACCTCTGTCCAGACTGGTAGGATGTGCTGTCCCTCCTTCCTGTGATCTGAGCCTCCTCTTGGGGCAAGATAACCTCCCTGGTCATGTGGGCAAGGGCGGGGTTAGAGCCCAGGACCTCCCTCTTCCTCCCCTCCTATTTGCCAACCACGTTGCCCCTTTCAATTTACCTTTTCTATGTATTTTGATTTGCTGGAAACTGCTGAAGAATCTGAAAACTAACACTCAAACACACACATGCACAAACATGTGCCCATAAAAGTACTGACCTGGGACATCCAGTGCCTGGTCATTCTCCACAGCTCCCTGCCAGTGCACATTTAAATTTTCCCTTCAGAGTAAACGGTCTGGACCCCCCTCAGAAAATTGTCAAAGGATACCCCTGCTGTATGTTGGATCTCCCTCTCTAATTGGTTGACCCTGTCCATGTCCTCACTGATTATTTGGGCAGTTTCATTCCTCTGCCTGGAGGACTTTTTGAGGTTACCTTCTCTGACCCATGTACGGTTCCAGTTATGAGATGGGGAGCACCATAGAAATCCCTATAAAAGCAGCTTCCCCTGAACCCTGTCAATGTAAGAAATGTCCAAACCTGTGGAGGATTGATATGAGTATTTCAGCTGAATTGATATCATATGACTGGAAGCAAGATCTCAAATCCTAAGAAGAACAGCAGTTTTGTTGCTTATTTTATAAATTATAATCAAGGGAGAAGATGAAAAAAGTTGCATGAAAGCTATTGGAAAGTGAGGGAAAGGATAACAAGAAGGTCTCTAGAAATAAATAAAAAGCCAAATGGTGAAACATGTATTATTTTTACATTGGAGGGTCCAGGATAGTTAATATTTACAGCAGGTACAGAGGCTTGCAGGGAACCAGGCAGCATGAGCGCTCTGTAGTCTTGTATTCTGGCCCCACATGCTCTGCCTTCAATGGGTTTAGCAAGGAAAATTTGCTAGATGTATGAGATGTCAAAGGTATGTTTCCCATGATGCAAAAGAACAAGGAAAGGGCTCAATTAACGTAAAGTCTGACATTTGCTAAGGAATCTGTGGTCCTGTGACATGACTACTGGCCATCACCTGCCCAGTTGGCATTTGTGATAAGACCACACTGTGCATCACTGAGCTTGTCAGGTCTGCCATGGGGGCCCCTGGGCTTATCAGGTTTCTTGCACGGCCCCTTTTTCATTCTCAGTTTCTGGAAAGAACATGTGGGACAGTACAGTCAATATGGAGGGGCCTAGAAAAAGCTATTAGTCAGGGAATGGAAATAGGTCTCCTTCTGCACCTCCTTAGCCAAATCCTAGTTCAAGAGTGAATTTCCTGTTGAAGCTGGTTTGGCTCAGTAGTAGAGCCTTAGTCTGCGGACTGAAAGGTCCCAGGTTCGATTCTGGTCAAGGGCATGTACATTTTTTCCGGGCACATCCCTGGTGAGTGGTGTGCAGGAGGCAGTTGGTCGATGTTTCTCTCTCATCGACGTTTTTAGCTCTCTATCTATCTCCCTTCCTCTCTGTAAAAAAAATCCATAAAATATATTTTTTAAATAAATAAATAAATAAATAAATAAATAAATAAATAAATTTTCTGAAGAGAATCCAACACATAGGCATAGTTAAACACCTAAACTGCTGCCTTTCACAACAATTTCAAAACTACAACTAAAAGACCATACCTCTATCACCCAGATCCACGGAAAAGCAAGTGGAAGTTCTCGATTGAAAGAGGAAAGAGCATTGTGAAGTGCACAGCGCTGAAAAGCTGAGGTATGAAGGCGCGATCTGGGATGATGGCGGGCGTTGCTGTTTTCAACTGAAAGAGAGACAAGCTCCCATTTACTCTGAAATCTAGTTTATGGGGAGATGTGGAGGACCCAAACTCCATTGGGTCAGAAAGTGAGGGTGGCTAGTCAGCAGATCTGAGCACAGGAATAATTATTTTTTGCACTGGGACACGGGGATGTGGTCTGAGACAAAAAGATAGTTGATGGGCATCCATAGCTGTTTTCCATGCCTTAGCCTAGTGATGCCCGGAACTCCACTCTGCATAACCTACAAACCCACCCACGTTCCAAGCAGTGGTTTTTCATATGAATGACCTGTTACCATTTAACCTAGTAAACTTTCAGCCTAGTTCAGACAGCTCCAAAACCTCCAAACCCCAAGCAAAAAAGAGGAAAACTATAGTTCTTGCTGTAGCTCCTGAAGGGCGGCCTCACACAGTATCTGACCTGCACCCCATTGGAGATCCAAAAGCCAGTGTACCTAGTGGTCAGTGTGAGACACCATATTTCAACTCCTCACATCCAGTGACAAATTCAAGAGGCATACTCAGTGAGCACCAAAGCCCCACTGAAACAAGTCCTGCACCATAAGTGTGTCTCCAGCACAGCAGTTCTTCCATTATAGACACAGCAGGACCGCACAGCCAATTGGCCTATAGGTCAATTCCTCCCAGTGTACCAATCAAGGCTTTACTAAACCAAGACCTAGCACTCAGCCCACAAAGAAGTGTACCATGCGTGTCCACCTCAGGTGATTGGGGAGGCTTACCTACTGGCTCTCAAAGGTCAGCTACCACACAAAACCACTCCATCAACACAGGGAAGCAGCCAAAATGTGGAGACAAAGAAACATGTCACGAATGAATGAAATGAAGGAAAGCAGACTACTGGATGACATAGAGTTCAAAACCACATTTATAAGGTTACTCAGGAATCTTCTAAAAACCACTGAGAAGCTTGGTGAGACATTCAAGGACCTTAATGAGAATGCCCCCACCACCCAAAAAAAAAAAAAATGGAAAAGAACCGTCAGAAATTAAGCATACACTGTCTGAAATAAACTCAACTGTACATCAATGTACCACAAGAATCCAACCAAAGACCTGTAATATGAGGAAACAAAAATACTCAACCAAAAAAACAAAAAGAAAAAGAATCCAAAAATATGTAAGGAGCCTCTGGGACAACTTTAAGTTTATCAACATCTGAATTTTGGGGGTGTCGGAAGAAGAGAGAGAGCAAAATGTTGAAAACCTATTAGAAGAAATAATGACAGAAAACTTTTCCTACCTGGTGAAAGAAATAGACTTAAAAGCCCAGGAAGCGCACAGTACCCCAAACAAGAGGAATCCAAAGAGGACCACACCAAGAAACGTCATAATTAAAATGCCAAGGACAAAAGACAAAGAGAGATTCTTGAAAGCAGCAAGAGAAAAACAGTTAATTACCTACAAGGTAGTACCCATACGACCGTCAGCTGATTTCTCAACAGAAACTATGCAGGCCAGAAGGGAATGGCAAGAAATATTCAAAGTGATGAATAGTAAGAACCTACAACCAAGATTACTCTACCCAGAAAAGCTATCATTCATAATAGAAGGTCAGATAAAGAAAAGAAAAGCTAACAGGCAAGAAAAAGCTAAAGGAGTTCATCACAACCTAACCAGGATTACATGAAATGCTGAAGCATATTCTTTAAGAAGAGGAAGAAGAAAGGGGTAAAAATGAAAATTATGAACAACAAAATGACAGCAAATACATATCTACCAACAAGTCTATCTAAAAATCAAGTGAATAGCCAAGACCGGTTTGGCTCAGTGGATAGAGCGTCGGCCTGCGGACTGAAAGGTCCCAGGTTCGATTCCGGTCAAGGGCATGTACCTTGGTTGCGGGCACATCCCTGTTAGGGGGTGTGCAAGAGGCAGCTGATCAATGATTGTCTCTCATCGATGTTTCTGACTCTCTATCCCTCTCTCTTCCTCTCTGTGAAAAATAAATAAAATATTTTAAAAAATCAATAAAAAAATCAAGTGAATAAAAAAATCTGATGAACAGAATGGCATGAAGAATGTAATAAAGTCGGAGACATAGAATGGGAGTGGAGTAACAATTAACAATAGGAAGGGGATGAGAGGGATACAGGAAGAGATTGGACAAAGGTCTTACACCTCAGGATGAAGACAGTGGCAGGGGATAAGGGCATGGGGTAGGGTGGGGAATCAGTTGGAGGGGAACTATAGTGGGGGGGGGAGAGGAACACTTGTAATAATCTGAACCATAAAGATTTATTTTTAGAAAAATAAAAAGTGGCATTCAACCTGGAAAAAAAAGGGTGAATTTCCTATGTTCTGTAGGTGCATCTCAATATTGCCCCTTGAAAACCAAAAAGAGACCTGCAGGCAATGTCATGTACTGCTCTAGGAATACTGACCAGGCACGAAAAGGTGGGAGCTCACTGTGAGTCCTGGACATAGGTGAGCTCTGACCTCTAGACTAAGAGCCAGCCATCCAGGGCCCAGTCCCTGTGTGTCTCATACCTTCTGACTCCATCCCAGGGCAAGCTGGGCCCAGTGAGAGACCTGGCTTTGTCCAGAGTATTATGAGTTCAGTGTCCAGAAAGCTGTCCGGTCTGGATGTGCTGTTTTAGGAGGATGTGCTTTCCAGGTTTTCAAAGCCAGGGCCTGTCGAGGGCTCTTTTAGGAGAGGCTGCTGCCTGAGTGGTGGATCCCCAAAATGTCCTCTGTGTTTCCCAACACAGGATTGAAATGTTGCATCCAGTCCCCTGTGTTTCTTTCTGTCATCTGTTCTAGGCCTCTCCCAAGGCCCAGAAGCTGGCGCAGCTCCACCTGAAGTGTAAACCCAGAGACTCTGTGGGTTCATCTTAGTGGAGGGAAGGCCCCAGTGGGACCCTCAGCACCTCTGATATGGAAGCAACCCCAGATCTTGGGTTCTCCTTTCCCATCCTGATGAGGAATTTCCCATTGTTCCCCAGGACACCGTGTGTCTGTGATATGTCTTTAGGGGCCACAGACAGTTGTATCAAGACCAGGGTCCTTGGGGAGGGGAGTCATCCACTAGTTTTCTTGAGTTGAGGGTGAGCACGCTCCTGACTTGGTAAAAACTTTTCCTGGCATGAAAAATCCAGAATGTCTG